CATTCAACAAAGCCTACATCCAGCGCAAATTACAACAACACAAGATCGACGACCACTGGACTCTTATGGCCACCGAAATCGCGGGGGAAGTGGCCCAGGGACGTATGGCCGGCCCCTTCGAGGCACCGACTCATTGGACCTCTCGCACAGTACCCCTGCACCTTTTCCCCCACACCAGCCGGCTCCTTCCTATCCCACATCGCGATCCCATTGTGGCAGTCGCATTCAGCATACAACAGACCGGATCGGACGGAAAACCCAAAGTCCGGAGAGGAGAAGACTGGCGCCGCAGCGGCCACAACCAGACGTGCTCTATGCACGATCAACCCTACCATCACACACCCGACCACTACATCCAATGTGCGAGACAATATCACGACGACGCACACCCGCTACATGTGTGGGGACACGACCACGACGGCGCCTACCGTCAACTGCCCCTCGCACAACCGGAGGTAGCATACGTGCTACTCATCACACCCGACGGCCCAACTCTCTGGCACCACCACGTGCTCCTGTTCGGCTCCGCTGCCAGCGTCTGGGGCTACAACCGCTTCGGCGATGCACTCACAGCACTCGCCCGCGTACTAACACTCACACCTGCCCTGCACTACGTTGACGACTACGGGGCCATACAACCCAGTCACATCGCGACCAGTTCCTTCTCCTCATTCAGCAAGCTCAACTCACTACTTGGATTTCATATGAAGACATCCAAGGAACAACCACCGGCGCCCTCTCACAAAATACAAGGGGTTTATGTCGACCTGTCGGCAACACACGCAACCCTTCGACCGTGCCCAGACCGAGTCCGTACACTGTCACACACCCTGTCTCAGTGTCTCGAACAGGGAGGTATGTCGAACGACACCGCCCGACGCACTGCCGGCAAGTGCAACTTTGTCACCGGACACCTGTTCGGTCGAGTAGGGCGATCGGCGTTAGCCGCCCTATACCACAAAGCACACAGCACTTCCGACCGGATCGACAAACCAACTCGAGCTGCCATTCTGTGCCTCCTGAATATCCTGCAACATAGCTCACCCCGCAGCGTCCCACTGTCCACCAGGCCCAAAGACCTTTCAATCATATACACCGACGCGTTCTGCCGGCAGGGCGAGACGGTCTGGCGTGTCAAGGACGCAGGGGATCAGGATTGTCTGCCACCCGATTGGTCGCACGACAACGGATGGGCAGCGGTGCTGTTCAGCCCACAGGCACAAAGGACCCGCGTGGTCTCGGGCGCACTACCCCCTAACTTACTCCAACAAGTGAGTACTGGCACCAACGCCATTTATTTCCTCGAGGCATGGGCCGCGTTGATCGCTCCTGTGATCTTTCGACCATGGATCACTGACACATACCTCCAGTTGTGCGACAACGAGGCGGCCAAACACGCCATCAGACGGGGAGTTGGGAAACACCAACCACTAAACTGCCTGCTCGGTGCACATTGGACATGGCACAACCGACAGCAATTGCAGTTGCATATTGCCCGTGTGCCCACACATGCTAATATAGCCGACCCCTTCAGTCGACATGACATGTCTCTCGCCTCGAAGCACCACTGGCAGATTCTGGAACCCCCCATGCACGCTCTACATAAACGGACGTGCAAAATCATTGGCGATATTGAGTTCGCCCATGCCGTCGGATTTGACGACATAAAGGAACTCCAACAGTTCCACAGGAATCATTCCTCCTGAACCCGACTTGACTTCCACGTCCCGTGAGAATCTTGTCCACAGTAAGGAGACTTGATCGATGTAAGGATGCCTTCAACGTGCCTTTTGTCTAGGTCGTTCGCCTTCGGCTTCACCTTCGACGGGAGTTGACCTACGACGGGAGAACGTCCACTCCCTCTTCGAAACTCTGCTGTACAACATTTTGGGTTTGCATGCACTTGCATTTGCTTACCTTTTATTTTGTTGTACTTTACTTTCGAGTCAGTGGTGTCTGAGAGACACGCACACCGACTCCAGAGATTGAAACAGATCGACCAACAGGTACGATCCCACCCACTTGAGGCAGTGCGGTGAAAATAAATCGACCGACGCTGGTTGCCGTCGTACTCTCTGGAGCGGTTTGTTGTTGCGGTTAACACTTGTGTTAAAAGTAACAACCGATAGCGGAAGGCATTTGAATCACACTCAGATTCGAACCTTGAGTGCCTGCAGGATGACACTGCTTGATTCATGCTCCGTTCGCCATTTTGGCGAATTAGCCAAATTTTTCTTTCCCACCCACCCTCACCAGTTTTCACTGCATGCCCTCAGTACCTGTCGGTCTGCATTTATAGCATCGAGTGAGAGGACGGGAGAACGTCCACTCCCTCTTCGAAACTCTGCTGTACAACATTTTGGGTTTGCATGCACTTGCATTTGCTTACCTTTTATTTTGTTGTACTTTACTTTCGAGTCAGTGGTGTCTGAGAGACACGCACACCGACTCCAGAGATTGAAACAGATCGACCAACAGGTACGATCCCACCCACTTGAGGCAGTGCGGTGAAAATAAATCGACCGACGCTGGTTGCCGTCGTACTCTCTGGAGCGGTTTGTTGTTGGCACCTATTTCTGGCTGGAATGCCTCTTAACCTTCATCTACCTGCTGATTGCTACTCACATGGGGTCCTGATTCACAATTTATGGATACATTGATACATTGCCAACCATGTTCGAAAGGTCAAACATGACTGAGGTAAGCCAAACACTACTAGGTCCCCCAGTAGTGCCCTTTTACCCTTATTTGGGGGGAGGGTTCCCCTACTAAAATAGACAAAAATAAAAAAGGGCACCGTTATGGTAGCCTCTCTACTGGAGGACGCACGGAACAAAATGGGGGCTCCCTAGTTTCCATGCCAGTGTCGTTAGTGGGCTCCAAAGGGGACCAGACTCCAAAGCAGAACCACCAATGAAGGACAATGGAGGGGCCTACTCGAGAAAACTACTCAAAAGAAGCGGAGATACCAGAAACGCCTGCAACCAGGGTTCCATGTTTTGACCCAAAGTAGACCTGAACCCAGGTTGATTTCCCCAAGAGAGAACCCCTGTTTCCCTTTTTTGGGCACCCTTTTTCCCCTTTTTTTTTGTGGCTGCTCCACTAAAAAGTCTTCCCCAAAAAAGGTTCCCCTTTTTTTCCAGGGTCACTGAACAACTGAGCCTGGGTTTACCATTTCGGTGTTGAGGCGTGAGGCAAACACATTTCGGGTGCACGGGCGAAACCTGCATTTGGGCCCGTCTCTGAGCCATTGGTTCTCCCTCGCAATTACCCTGGCAAAGCAAATGGAATCCCATTTGAGCCACGTGCTCAAAACCCGGGTAGATGAAGGTTAGTAAGGGACAATCCCAACCATAAGTAGCTGCGGATATCCGCCTCCTTTATTCTTCACATGGTTCTGGGTAGACCATTTTAATACCGGGTTTTGGCTATGACTTCTTTGAGGGATCACATCGACGGCCGGGCCCTTCTGAAGGTTTGCCGTGGATATTTTTGGAGGAGTCCACTTCGCTCATGGGAACCCCGGATTTGTAATCCGCTGTTTTTAGGTCCCCCAGCCAGGTGCCCTCTTGCCGTTTCTTTTTTGGTTGGGAGGGTTGCCCTACTAAAATAGACTACAGAAAAAAGGGTAGCCTTATTCTAACCTCTCTACTGGAGGACCTAGGTTTATTCGCAGGGGCGGTCCTCTGCTTTAGTGGGGGTTGGAGCACATGCGTTGCGCGGAGGCACTGCAAACTGGGACCCGGTCAGCCATGCCCGACAATACGAGAAACCTAGGGCTGAAATCTGGAAAACATGCAGCCATGGGAATGTTATGGCCCGCGAACAGTCACCAGTCACTAGTCTCCAGGCTGCATTGGCGGTCTGAATCAGCATACTGTTGGTGAACACCAGCTAAAAACGGACAAGCGGACCAGCGCCACATCCCTTTCCTGGGTGGGCAGTGAGTACTTGAATGGATGTTGTTCAGCTCGGGGGATTGGGATCAACTGCGTTTGCAAGTGGCTTGGCACGAAGCCCAAGTTTGCAGAGCCGCATGGCTGGGTCTTAAAATAGGGGTACCGCCCACAAATGGGTTGGTTTTTCCAAAAGGCCGGGCCTTTGGAACCAACCAGAAAAGGGTAGCCTCCACAACACGACGGAGCCGCCCACAAAGGATTCCCGTGGGAGCTACGGCCCGTTTGCGTTTGGCTTTCGCGATACCTCGATGGACCCTCTCGGGGGGAACCTGAAAGGCCCAAGGCCTTCTCTTCGCTCGGCTTCGGTTCAGTTCGCAAATCTAGGTCCCCAGCTAGGTGCCCTTTCTCACACGTTTCTTTTTTTGGGGGAGAATTCCCCTACTAAGCCAGACGTCCTGCAAAAAGTGGGTAGCCTTATTCTAAGCTCTCTACTGGAGGACCTAGGATTTTTTTTTTCTGGTTCATGTTGGTTCGGCATGGATTGGGATCCCACTTTCCTTGCAGAGTTCGGGTCGAAGATGGGAATGCGGAGTTCGGGGACCCGGCGGACCCGCCGGGTCAGAGATTTCGACTTGGCGGGGTCGGTGTTTGTCGGCGCCCTTTGAGAGTTGGTGAGTCCAACCCCGAAAAGGTTCCTTTTCGCGAAAACGACACGCCAAAGGGGAGGTCCCTCCACAAATCCACGAAGGGGCGTCTCTCCTCAAAAAGAGACGCCCCATTTTCGAGGGTTGCCCTTTGCCAATCATGTACAACCAGAGGGGCGCAATATTCCTTGTCCGGGGTGGAGACAAAGTGGTTGAGCTGGGTCTGGGCTCTTGGGGGACACAGTTTGCAGGGTTGTCAACTTGCCTTGGGCTGGTGGCCGATGGAACTTGGAATCAGCACATACCTAGATCCGCAGTTGCCTCTATTTTCCAGCTACTTTGACAAAATTATGGGCTGCTAGGTGGTAAAGTGGCTGGACAAAAGTGGCTACTTGGGCTTTCAGGTAGCTTGTTTTGTTTTTTTTTTTTTTTGGGCAGAGTTGCGTTCACGTCCGATAGAACCTCGGCTCGAAGGACGGGGCTGCCTTTTAAAAAGGCCGGCCCTTCCTGCGGGCGATGGGCAGATCTCGGGAGACGCAGACATCGTTCGCGGCCTCGGCCTCCGCTCGGGGCGGGGCCGCCAGCCGCTCGGCCACGTGCCCGCCCTACCTGGCCGAGCTGGGGCTGCGCAGAAAGTCGAGCCAGGCGGGCAGAGGATTTCTTTTCCAAGGGCCACCAACTTGTGCAAGGATGCAAGGCACAAACTTGACTGCGCAATCGAAGCTTGACTTTTTGGCTGTCGCAAGGCTACCAATCAAACGTTTGGGAAAATTGTGTTCCAGCCAAGCTCCTGAAAAGAGGGCGGCATGAGATTGACTTTTGGTCCTGGTAGCTCAGCTGTTGCGGATTTTGAGCTTCTCCAACCTCCTGAATTGTGCCATGAGGTTGGATGTTACCATTTGCACCTGCACCTGAGGACCTTGCGACAAGGAAACCCAAGAGTTGGACTTCGGGTTGTGCCCGCATTCTCTCACCAACTCTGTTCGGAAACCAGGCTGAAAGGGGATGCTACGGCCAGATCCATATTAAAGGGGCGATCGATTCGATACTCAGCAAGTTTAGCAATAGTTCAACCCACTTGCCATGGTTTCAAGTCCCCGTTCAGTAGGTGTTCACCCTTGCTGACCACATGCTTGACGTGCCCTAGCAACCATTGTTACCATTGTTACCGATTTAGGGGATTTCGAATCAGGGTTTCTGAACGGTGGCATGAACTGGACTTCGCAACCGCATCAGTACCTCCATATTTGGTTTCCATATTTCTCGATTTGGGCTCCGTGGTTGGACAATTGCCACCCACCATAAACTGGTTTTATCAGTACCTCCATGTTTGGTTTCCATATTACCACTACCAACTATAAAACTGGGACACTCAGTACCTCCATATTTAGTTTCCATATTTCCAACCTCTTTGGTTGGACTAGTACCACCCACAAAAAAAACACTGCTCTGGGTGGACCATATTTGGTTTCCATATTTAGGTTGTGTGGTTGGACTATTACCACCCACAAAAAAACTGATCTTATCAGTACCTCCATATTTGGTTTACATGTTACCACCACAAACTATATAACTGGTCTGGGCCATAAACAGGTCTAGGTGGACACTATGGTGGACTATTACCACTATCCTGGACCCCACTCTAAAATTGAGTCTGGGTGGACACCTACGTTTTAACGAAAATGTTTTTTTTGGTCCGCTATTTTTCTGCTGAGTCAAGCAAGGTTAGGTTCATCCTTGCTTGTCTTGTAAAATAGATATGCTCCCGAGGTTCACTATCCACTATGAAACTGGTGACACTCAGTACCTCCATATTTGGTTTCCATATTTCCCACCTCTATGGTTGGACTAACAAAAAAACTGGGTCTGGGTGGACCGCACTTGGTTTCCATATTTGGTTTCCATATTACCACTACTCACTATAAACTGGTCTGGCTGGAGACACCTCCAGATTTGGGCTCTATGGTTGGACTAGTACCACCCACTATAAACTGGTCTGGGTGGGTCCAACACCTGCGTCCTCCCTACCACCCACAAAAAAGCACTGGTCTGGGTGGGCTATTACCACCCATAAACAGGTCTAGGTGGACACTATGGTTGGACTACCACTACCTGGACCTTCTACAAACTTGGGTCTGGGTGGACTCACTACCCTGGGCACCTACGTTCTATTACCACCCACGTCTGGACACGTCCTCCCGAGGTCAGCCTGCGCGACCGGGTGAGCTGGGCCTGGGGCGCCAGCTCCGCCGCCGACTTCGGGCGCCTCGCGGCGCCCAGCGCCCGCGGCCGCGACGGCCGCGAGCGGCCGCGGAGCTCGGCGGCGGCGACACGCGCGGCGGTGGTCACACAGCGCCTTGCGTGGCACCGAGGGGGGATGGGTCAAAATCCCGTACCCCCAGTGAACATCCCAATCCCTACTACAATTGGTTCTAAAATGGGTGGTGCACCTACCCCAAAATGGTACCATTGGTTTTGACCCACAGCCAAATGTCAACGGTTCCA